GAGAATGAGAACGAGAATTTAATAGGATCCTGTGGTGGAGTCCTAGAGACCACCTCTCACACTGTTTACAAAATGTGCAGCTGGTTTTGTTCTGACCCTTAGGGCAAGAATCTGTTGGTTTTTGTTGGGCTAGAAAAATGAAAATTTTCAGATGGTATTTTCATTTCTCTAACTGTGATATTGAGCTGCTTTGGTGTAAAATGTGCAATCTGTACAGAGTTGTATTTAACAAGAATTAAAGTAACTTAAGTTTGCTTTATGAGATTTTAGTTCTGCACAGAGGTTAAGTGGGAGAATGCAGCTGTTGCAAAGGCATATATAATAGTATGTTCACTTTTAAAATGTATTTTATGATACTGTATTAGCAGCAGGTTTGTATAAACTTAAGCTTGCTGTGGTTCATTTCCTTTTCTTTGATAACTAGAACTAAAAGCATTGTTAACATTCTTCTCCTGGAAGAAATGAAATTACTTGAAGCATGAAAAGCACACTAGGGCTTGTTAGCAATTATGATTGTAGTTTTTTGTTTTTTTTTTAAGTAACAGTGGCCTAGGCAGCTGAGGGCTCCTGAGATTCCAGCTCAGCCTGGGATTTGCATGGCTGCTGGGGCCACTGAGGCCTGCAGGGCACCTCACTGCCCCTTCAAGGGTGGCATGGAGTGGCCTGAGGAATCTGTCTTTCCAGCCTCACACTTTGCTTCTTCCTCACCTCAGATCTAGCAGATACTGTACAGATTTCACATGCAAATCTCTCTTCAAACTGTTTGCAAAGCCAAATGCTGACACTTAAGTAACCAAAACTGCCCTCCTAGTAAATTGAAGGCAGGTGGCACAGCAATTACAGTCTGAATTGCCTGGTCAGATGCTTTTGTATTTCAGATAAAAACTATTGCTGAGGTCAGATTCAAATCCTTTTTATGACTTCCTGTAGAAATAGCACATTGGAGGACCTTCCCTGGTGGCTCAAGGGGTTAAAGCACTGCACAATGAAGCTAGAAGCTAGCCATAACCACTGCAGCATGAGTTAGATCCCTGGCCAGGGAGGTGACCCACACGTCGTGGCAGACCTCTCCGGTCTCATCCACTGCTCCCCTCAGCAGTGTACTTCATTAGTCGTTCTGCTCCCCACTCCTTCTCTGGTGAATCCTCTCACCGCCCCTGAACCTCTGGCCTGTACCCAAGTTTTGTATGCATAAATGAATAAATCTTTAAAAAAAAAAAAAGAAAAAGAAATAGTACATTGGACTGTGAAACACAAAAAGGTTATTCAAATTGTGCTCTTACAATCGTGACCAATGCCAAATCTGCATAGGGATTTTCTACTGAGATGGTTGGGAGCCAAAATGATTTTCTAAGAAACAGTTTCCTTCTCCAGCATAAATGTCTATAATTCCTGATTAGCCCAGACCTCAGCTATACCTCATGTTCACGTTAGTTGTTTGCTTTGTGAGTTAACTGGGGTTGGGGATGGAGTGTCAATTTAACCTCTTTTGCCAAAGAGGAAAGTGTTTGTGTTTGTTTTATTAGAATTGTGGACCAAAAAAAAAAAATCCTAAAAAATGCATTATCCTATTTGTATGATTATGACTTTCTGTGAAATGTATCATCAGTAAAATAGTGAGGGTGCTGGAAGCTGGCTATCTGTTTGTTATTGTGGAAGATAAGCCGTTTACTATGTGGAGTTTACATGGTTTTATATGTATGCATACTAATTACAATAAACTGTGTCAGATCCAAGTGCCCATGCCTCTCATTGGTGCCCTGTTTGCTACTATTGAAGGCACTCGAGGCCCCACCTTCAGGAAGGGGGTACAGGAGTGAGGGATTAGAGTCAGATAGGTCTTGTTGCTGACTGTGATCTGCCGTCAACAGCTGAGGGATTTGGGGAAATTAAGACCAACCAAATGGTAATAAGAAAATGTGATGCAGGGCACGCTGTGGCAGGGCAATCAGCCACCACTACCTGCACTGTGGCAGAGACCCCAAGGCCGCGGCGGATGGAAGCTGGCAGGGAAGGCTCCAGGTGTGCCCTGATTGGAGACTCATTTGGAGGGGAAGGAATAGCACAGGTTAACGGGAAGTGATTGGTCAGGGTACATATTTGGCTTTTTCTGGTATAATTGATTGGGGTGCATATTTGGCTTTCTCTGGTTGGTCCTAAACTGAAAGCTGGAGCAAAAACTTGGCAGTTATTAAGCAAACCCTATCCATATAGGGTCTATTATCAGAGTTTCTTGGTTCCCCGGATTGTTACTACATAGTGTTTCTTCTTACAGGTGTGACTTAGAGCAGACTGACTTCTGGACTGGTTGCTATGGATTATGGGTTGGTCTCCTGCATTTATTGCTGTAGGTTATAAATCATTTTTATATATGAAATGTCCACTATCTGTATATTCAGTGTATTGTTACATAAATATTAGCTTCATTGTCCTCATGTGTAAAAATGAGTTAATGTGCCTTCCTCCAAGCCTAACCATTAAGAATTTCAAGAATAGGGCCTCCCTGGTGCCACAGGGGTTAAAGTTCACTTTCAAGCTATTTCCAGCCACTGTAGCCTGAGTTCAATCCCCAGCCAGGGAGGTGACCCACATGGAGCAGCAGACCTCTCCTGTACTGCCCACTGCTCCCCTCAGTAGTGTACTTCATCGATCTGCCTGTTCTGCTCCCCACTCTATCTATGGTGAATCCTCTCACCCCCACACCTCTGGCCTACACCCCAGTTCTTGCATGCATAAATAAAATAAATCTTTAAAACAAAACAACAAAAAAGTATTTTAAGAACAGACTGGGATCTATAGCCCTCTTTACAAGGGAGCTGTTCTCATCCATCACATTTCTTCCTGTTCGCATGAGTCATGATGGCAGAAAGAGAACAGACATTTGTTCTGGAGCAGCACTTCCTTGGGGTGACTTTACTGTGTAGACCACAGATTGAGTGCAAAGTCTGATAAACTGTAGCTGAGCCTAGAACTGGAGGATAAGAAAAGAAAAGTGCTTTCTTTGTTATGTTTTGCAATATTAACACATGACAGAGTGAGAAGGCAGTATTTTTAATTATTTGGTTTCTTCTGTTACCAAATTTCATTGGGTAGCAAAGATCACATTCTGCCATTTCTTACAATTGTGGCTGAAACACATGTGCTCTAACAAGATTATCCTGAGGACAGAGGCAGCTGAAGCTTTGCTATAGGTGTTGTTACTAGTACTTTTTATTAATAGTTAAAATCAGCATAGAAAATACCTAGAAAGATAGGAAAGATTGTTCTGTTTGTTTTACACTGCTTTGGGTTCTTAGCAGAAGTGAACTCATTTACATTCATGGGTACCACTATAAACACCACAAATAGCCTTCAGAAATACATCACTATAAAGCCTTCCACAAATTCATCTGTGCAGTGGCCCCACAGTCACCACCAGGTTAGCATCACTATTCTCAAAATCCTCTTGCACTCATTCACGTATCAAGTAGTTATTTAGGGTCAAGAGCAGGGTTCACCTGCTCCATGCTTGAGTTGAGAGGGAGCAGAGCTAGCCTCACCTCAGTACCTGCGAGGAGCCGAGTCCTCTGAGAGGCTGAGGTTGAAGCCAATTCTGCCACTGCTCCCCAGCAGACTACCCCGCCCCCCTGCACTGTCCCAGCTCACCCACACCACTGTGATCAAGGTCTCACTGCAGACATCTCTACCAGCCTCTCCCTGTCCTCATAAGAAATTCCCACTTCCCCCGGAGATTTAGAGATTTTCACTTCACCCTTGTATTGGTATGTGTTTGGCTGTGGATTCATTTGGATTCCTATTGATTGCCACATGTGCTCCTTGAATCTTAGGATTCATCATTATCAACTATGAAAAACTCTCAGCCATCCATTTTCCCACTACTACTTGCCTCTTTGCTGGTTTTTTTCCATCCACTCTTGGAATTCCTGTTAGGTGTTCATCGGACCTTCTCATCCTCTCTCGTTTGTCCCTTAACACCTCTTATTTTCCATCTCTTTTCTTTAAATACTGCATTCTTGGTAGATTCCAAAGAGACCATCTGGCAGGTAATTGCATACACTTCAGATTGCCTTGATGAGAAATGTAACTTCTCAGTGCTCCTTTCCTTGCTCGTTGTGCGGGGTAAGCACTGCTGTCCACCCGCCTGATTGTTGTGAAGTCAAATGAAGCGCTGAGAGCACTATCTGTCCCTCATGAATACTGTATACATGACCTATTTTGCTAGCATTACTAGTCCCCAATTCAGTTATCATATTTATGTAGTCATTGAGGTTTTAACTTGTTTTATTTTTAATTTCTAGAAGATCTGTTCATTCTTTTTCAAATCTGATGTTTCTGCACTGTGCTGGTTTTGGCAGAACAACCTTAATACCTTATTTGAATCATATGAAAGACTAATTTTGTATTTTTTCTTATCATTCTGCTACCTTCATCCATTTAGAATCAAGCCTATCTGTCCAGTGACTTGTAACGCCATCCTATAGAGCGTTTGCTACAGTAGATCTAATCGCCAAGCTGCTCACCATTGTGGTCACCAGCCTCCCTTGACTGCTGATGCTTGAAATGTGGCTGCAAGACTGAGGAAAGAATTGTACATTTCATTGGATTTTTATTTGTGTAAGTGTTGGTAGCCACACCCTCACCAACTATGAAACTATCGCTGTATGGCTGAGGGCTACTGTTGGACAACTCAGCCAAGTCATTCTGCACCTCCCTGACCTGATCTACTTCTCCCCATCCTGTTCACCCCACTGCAGTCACATGGGCCTTCTAGGTGTTACCTGAACTTGTCAGGACACCCCTTTTCCTGCAGACTGTCTCCCTAAGTAGGTCTGCTGCACCTCCCTCAAGCCCAGTCTGACATGTAACCTCTCTATGAAGCTAGGCTGCAGCACAA